ATCCCAAAATAACACCCGTCTGCTCTGTGAAACTATTAAAGCTAGGGATCATGGGACATTTCTAATGTAATTTCTTTATTATTAATTTGGCAAGTGTTCTGCTTTCTCATAAGCTCGTCCATTCTGCCACCTTAACACTCCCTCTCCCTTCTCTCTCCAATGTCCAAGGCACTAAAGCAAAATAAATACAGAGAGCCACATGCTGCCCTCTGCTACACACATGCCACCACACAAGTCCAAGGAGGCGGCACAAAGACATATGAGGACAGACCACAGGCAGCAGTGCCTACAAAGCTAGCTCATTTACAGTTACATGAAAATACCACACATCACCTATCCAAATGTGTCTGATGAAAGGAGCATTCCGACTGATAAAGACTTTTTTCTCATTAGCCACCTCAACGAACCGGTCATTTTAAAGGGACTTTATATACAGCTACCCAAATAGATAAACAGTTTCAAGCCTCATAGCCTAGTTTATATAACAGTTCTACCTGTTTGCAATCACTGATGTTTCCATATCAATGAAATGAAGAAACAACCTTAACAGTGAATAGCCCAAACTTTATAAATGCGAACAAACAAAAATACATCTTTAAGCCTAGAGATCAAACCAGCCAATTGGTAATCCTTTTACTTTGTCATTATTAAAGTATGTATAATTTTTTAGCAGGATCTCAGCATACATTAAGAGCTTAAATCGTTTAACTCATATTACCACCATAAGATGCTTTGAAAGCAAAGTGGAGCACAAAAATGAAAGCACAAAACTATGAAGCAACATATTCAGTATTCTATGAGCGGTCAGCAGGAGAATTAGGATTAGGAATCACGATGTCACGTTCCCTGTGCTAGTCAGTAAACAACAGAGCAAGAAAACAAAACTAAAATAACAACAGAAACCCCATGTTCAGGATGAGAAGTCTCAAATTACTCTGATGCAAAATATTATAAGCACCCCAAAGTCTGTATATTTAACAAAAAGGCCATCTCAGCCTTACTGCCCTGTTAAACCAAAACCACAGAATAAAAGTAAATGCAAATACCTGTTTCCTGGATCTTGGTAACTGTCAGTAACAAGAGTGGATGGAACACCAACTTTTTCCATTATTTGCTTTAACTAGATGTGGTTGCTATTTAAACCCTAAAGAGCTATGTGAGATAATCCAGAGGGTGCCTAGAAGTACTCACTCCAAGTTAAAAAATAGACACTAGGGCAATTTGGTGGCTCAGAGTCAACCTAGTTCTTGCCTAATTACAATCACGTTAAATGACAGTACTCCTCCAGAACAAATGACCTAGTGATTATCCTCTACCCGGAAAAGTCAACAAGCAGTTCATGAGGGAGGTGGCCTCACAACCACACACACTAAGGAAAAGCCACCTAACAGCTACACATCCATTTTATTTCCGAATTAAAATGTATGTTGCCAACAGCAGAGTAATGCAGTATCCTCTTACCAGTGACCTCTGCTAGAGAATGAATAACATCTAGCTTGTATATTAATTCATCTTTAGACCTCACCTCCAACAGGCGCCAACAATGTTGTATAACAAGGTTGTGGCTGATAGTAACACTAGCTAACCGAAAGTCTTAGTTAAAGTCATCAGAAATACCCCACAGATTTTTTCTAATTCGTGATGTTGCTTTTATGGCCCTTGAACTCTACAGCATAGCATAGGTGTTCATACTCTCAAGCTTTGCTTACTTCATCAAAAAACTCAATACTCTAATTTCTTAAGCAGTTATACAAACTGATCTAAACACCAAGCAAAAATTTTGGGAGAAAGACAGCTATAGGAGGAAAACAGCTATAAATATTTGAACATTCTTGCCTGTGGCATTCAGACATGATTATGATATAGTCATCATACTCTGAGTCAGTATGCATTACACCAGTTAAACCAGTCTCAACTGGGATTTCTGCCAACAATGTTACGTGTTGAACATCCATCCATCAAGTATGATACAATAAGTGCAACACCTGAAAAACACATTCCTATTATGAACGACTACAGTAAAATATGACTATTAAAGTGGTATCTTCAGAGCTAATTTTTTCATAAAGTTTTTAAAAAGTTTCATGCCCACAAGAACATTATTTTTAACGTACATTATTTTGCTTGGATTGGAAACTTTTCCCCTTATTTTATGCTGCTTCAACATTTACAATTCAAGCATATCAAATCTCGCGTAGTTCATTAGAACCAGAAAGTTAAATCAATTGGTTTAGGTATTTCCACTGGTATTTAAGTAAGCATGAAGTAAACAAAGAGTGAAAAAAAAATTTAAAATTTCACACTTCAGAAAACCAAGTGTTACTAGTAGCATTTAGAAAATTCCAATGAATGACTTTGAGCCCGACTGCGCTTCCAACATTGGTATCAAAAGCTAGCTCCAGTTATGCTCATCTGCAAATGTGGCCCAGCTGCCAAGCTCCTCCAGCTTTCCAGATTGGGCCCATAATACCGCTGGGACCAGCTTTAAGGTAAAAAAATGTACTGGTTTTATGTTCTACGTTCTTTTTCATTGTTTTTGTTTCCAAGTCACTTCATATTCATGTTTAAGGTTTTTTTTTCTTTAGCTGCCAGAGTAAAAAAAAAAAGAGAGAAAAAAAAGAGAGAGTCTGAAAGAAAAACAAAGAAAAAGGAAGGAAGAGAAAGAAAAGAATCTTAACAATAAATGCCATGTCTTTTATATCTCTTTTTCATAAAACTGGCAGTGCTTCAGCAGTATCCAAGAGTTAGCACATACTTGGACCTCACTGAAACAAATTTCCATCCTAGAACTGATGGCTATGACCAGCACACATATTCTATATCTGAACAATTACTAAAATACTAAAAAATATAATATAAAACAACACGGTGAAATAACTTCAGTCCTAGTCTATCGTGTTAAGTCTGCACTTATCTTTTAAGTAACATCACATCTGCTAACACTAAGATCACAAAAAATACCAGAAATAGAAGTCTGACAACACTACCTCTGGAATGAGGTTGTTTCAGATTCTTGCAATACTGGATTATCAAAATAACTCCCATGAAAGTGGTACACCAAAGCCATTAATAGCACAGATTTATACTACAGTCTTGGCATCAGGTTCTCTCATTCTCTCCTGTTCCCTCCCTCTCTCTCATTCCCTCCCTCCCTCTCTCTCTTTTTAAAAGAGGATAGTAATTTAAAAAGAAAAAAAGTGCCTTTCCTTAATGTATTTCCAATGTTGTGCTTTCCATGAAAGTCTGACATGTTAGCAACGTTTCTGCTCAATATGTTTTGAATAAGACATTTCTAGATTCTAAAAATGGGTACTTAAACTATACCACAGACTAATTTTGGACTACCAGATCCCAGCTCCAAGTGGGAAACCCTCCTTTGTATGAGTGCACTCTCATCTTCCATAAGGAAATTCTTTCTGAAAGTAAAGATTTCTTACATGAGTAAGGGTAAACATGATGAGGACTTGAATGTGTGAGCTCTTAAGGACAAGTACTGCTTCCTTTGGATCTTGTACAACACTTAGCAGACTGTCAGCACCGTACCATAACAAATGTTGAAGAAATATTTAGAAACAAAAAATAAATAGGCCTTACTTCTACTTCATTTCCATCAGTCTAAATCAGGAATAACACAACTGAAGTCACAGGTAAAATTACAACACTAAGGTAAACCTGTCAACGACTTCAACGTGATGAAGATTTTTTGCCAGGGAATGGTATAAAATCCCTCCCTTTTTACGTGCTATATATAGTTACATTCATTAGACGTTTCCATATCTGACAAACCAGCTGACACAGAGAGACTCAAATAATGCTACCACTTAAGACATGTGCCCAAACACATTCACTGGAAATTGGAAAGCTTCAGAAATGCATCACAGGATCCATTACTTAGCCTTAGACGTTGCAACTTGCACAACCTGGCCTATCATATGATGCTAAGGCGTTCTTCTGTAATTAGATTCCATTTGAAGAATCAAAAGATACCTAATACTTCCAAAACACTTCCTCAGAAATACCACCATATATGAATCACAAATGCAACATGGCATTTAAGCTTGAGGTTGGGAAACTTGACTTCTTTTTCTGTTTCTATATCAGACATATGTCTCCCTAACTCCTGATGAACATGCTCTGATCATCATGCTGCATGACTTCTCAATTTAAAAAAGCTAAACTTTGAAGAAACACCTCCCACAAACAGAATACTGACAATTACTAGATGCTGTTGCTTTTAACTCTGTAACAGTCCAGACATCTGATAAGGATACAGACTGCATCCATCTTTTATGCTCTACGCCTGGAACCTTGGGAGCTGTGGGCTAAATTCTTGGCTCAACCAAACCTCTAATGTCATCTTGTGAAAACAATCTAGTATCTGTACTGTGACTCCCAAACTGTAAAATGAGTGTGATAACATTTCTTGTATTCTGTACTCTATCTTGTTTATTTAGACTGTAATTGTTTTACAGCAAAGATGATTTTAGGCACGCCTACCACAGAAAAGGAGGCTGAGATCCCGTCTAGTGCTTCTACATGCTCTTGTGGTGTACACAATTAACCATACTAGATATAATTTCCAAGCACTTAATTTCTGCTCCCATTTGATTTCCTTCTCATTTGTATTTGTGCATTCCAGTGTATATGGCTATGCTGTCCCAGTGCGCACTGCAATAATTACTGTAACACTTCTGCTACTGAGTATTTCTTGACTTGAAAGCTTCTATCCCAAAATCTAACTTTGACTAATCTTTCAACTGCATTAAGAAAGCATACCCTCACTCGCTCTAGTACATGTAGCTCAACTCTACTGTTTGTAAATTCCTGCAGGCCAATACTGTGGTATCTTCTAAGTTCCCTTCTACTTACACTTCTGCAAGGAAGGTGAGAACGACCTCTCTGTTTTACCAACAAGCAAAACCCAAGAAATGTGGGTTTTATGCTAAGTTTATTTCCCTCTGTCTCAGCACTTCAGTTGTGGTGTTACACGAATGACTTACCGGTGATAGGCTTCCCGGCGGTACTTTTTCAGAGCGTGCCCATCCATGTTTGCAGGGAGATCTGCTGCATTCTGGAGTCGGTCGCTCCATGAGGTTGTCATCTTCAAACACTTATTTACTTCTGAAAGAGGCAGAAGAGAAAAGCTTGCTTAAGTTCAAGGTTTGTTTCACCAGAAACTAGTCTGTTTCCTGGTATGAAGAGATGCAATGCCACTCAGGAAGTTTTGCAAAGTAGCCGGTGGAAAGATCTGAGTTTGCAGTTCAAGCAAGATGCTTTCCTCTGAGATACTTGGTGAGATAGGGAGTCAAAACAAGGCTTTTCCACATGGCTGGAACTGCAAAGACATTCCTATCCATTGTGGTGAAAACACAGTCAGAAACAGCTGTCATTGCTGAAAAGGGGTATTTTTCACCTTAGAGTTACTAATACACATTAGCTATAAGTGATAGAAAACCCACACTTTATACATCAGATACATTAGGCAGGGCAAACCCTACAAACCCCAGTGGGATTGACCTTGCCACTTTTACCACACGCTAAAAATAAAGAGCCTTGTCTCTGGCTTTGTTTCTTATTTGATCTCTAAGCAAAGACAAAGCTTCAAACTGATGCTAAATTAGCAGAAATAATTGGAAGGAAAGTAGAAAGATGATCTTTTGTCCTCTGCAGGTCAGCTACATTCAGACAGAGCAAGAACACACTGCAAACCTGTAATGCTAGCAATGCAAATATTCACCAGCTGATCTTCACAAACATCTGCACCCCTTCACAAGTACTGCTTGTCAAAACCAAACCACTGGACAGACCTTCTCATCAGGAAGGCCCTGCAGTGAGGAAACAGGGGTAGCTTTCCCAAGTGTGTTATTAGCACACTGGGGCAATCCTGCTCACCCCCTCCTCCCGCCAGACGCATGTCCTGCTGCACCCCTGGCACCAGGGTGGATGATGAAGCAGCCCCATGTTGAGTCAGTTCAGCTCACCAGTCCAAGCGCTCACCCATCAAAACTAACCAACCAAAAGCAAACAAAACTTGGGAAGTTTGCCACTGGTCAGCAGGCTGAACCCAGCTCAACCCATCACAATGCTATCATTAGAGTCGGTGCAAAGAACGGGGCAGGAGATGCATCCCACAGTTATACCAAATTAGGTATAACACAAAACCATTCTTGTGTAACCCACACAACTACTGGACCACAGGGCTTGGCTTGTTTGCTCTTCCTTAAAAGAAACAAAACCACTCACAAGTGACATGGGTAATGATACAGCAACCATTTCTAGACACCTTTAAAATACGACTGCCCTCATTTCACAGAAGAGAAACTAGGTGATTTCAGCAAAGTAGAGAGTAGAGCGAGTGTCCAAACCAGAGTTAGAAGTCATGACACTTTCAGCAATCACATGCATGCTTGGTCTCCTAGAGGAAATCTGTATAATTTTTTAGTTTTAAATTTGATTAAAGAGCAACAGTTGCAGTCATCACTATTTACCTACTAGCTGCTGGTCATAAAAATCAAACAGACGGCAAACAGCTTGTCTATAAAAAATACGTTCCTCCCTCCCCCAGCATTCTCTGCTTGTCTCCCAGTTACTACAACCAAGGTTTACAAATGCATCTTCTGCCACATCCTAAAGGTCACCAAATTTAGGCCCTGGCAGGCAGCCCAAGGGACTGCATGCCAGAGCTGAAAGCTCTCCCCCCCAAATTCCCTGCAACACACCCAGGACAGGAGGTCACCACAGCGAGAGGGTGACGGGCCATTCCAGCCAGCCGCAACTTCCACAACAGGGCATGCAGGGAGACGCAGCTTCTAAAATAGCACAGGCCCCAGCCACCAAGGGCTTATAAGTAATTACCAGCTATTTAAGCCATGCCCAAAGGCAGATGGAAAGCAGCACGGGGCACAGAACTAAACAGCCCGCAAGCATCAACCCATTCCACTTCAAAGGCAGGGCACTGCCTGCAGAAATGCTCCTTACAGGCAGCAAGGGCTGCAGCAGTCCTGATGGAGAAGGGCCTCTGGAGAGGAGCACTGCCCATGCAAGAGTGACAGACTCCAGGACAGCAGACAGACGCAGCACAGCGAGGGATCTGGTACAACCCCAAGACTGCCAACTACAGAAAGGGCTTGTGTCCCCAGAGAGGGGAAAATCATCTACCCCATAGACATTTCAAGATAGTCCAGATCATCACCACCTTGGTCTTAATCAGAGCTATTTTAAAGCTACTAACCTAGAGCTACAGCTTCAGGTCCAAAAGACATACACATTTAAGGCCTCTAAAAGGAAAGTTAACTAGCTCTGAAAAAACTGTTGCATGGCTGGCATTATGACTCTTAGGCAGGTCCGGGTCTAGGTTTTCCAGCTGAAACAAGTCCAAATCCAAGCTTCCTTCTATTTAGAAGAGCTACCCTATTCTGCTTACCCAGCCAGACACATAGCAAGATTCAAAGATTTATACCCACAGCCAAAGCCAGAGGACTTTCCGTTCTGCCAGCCTCTTCTTCCCACTTGATCTGCTTCCCATCTCTATCACACCACATCAGAGATGCTGACATAGCTACTAGGATAGGACTGCTCCCAACGGCCATCCATGCCAGACATCTGGTTGCTCACCAATAGTATCCTACAAAATGTCCTAAAATCCAAATGGCAGAAGAACTTTAGCAGGTTACCTTTAACAACATTCTTTCTAAAATGACGAATCAGCAAAGCAGTTTGAGCTGCTATGTGATAAACTTTCCCCTACAGTAGGATAAACCAGACTGCATCATTCTGTTTGTGCTGGGATTCAAAAAGCTGAGGCTTAAAGAAACCACAAAAATCTGAGTTTCTGTAATTAAGCGAGAAAGGCCTGAATTATTTTAACGTTTCAGCAGTATTTTGCTGTAGCTGTAATGAACAAAGTTCATAGGTAGAACAAGGTTTGTAGACAGAGGCAATATCTTTTATTAGACCAAACTGGTATGGTTGGAAAAAACAGACAAGCTCTTGGGCACATAAGCTTGTCTAAGTTTTCAAACTTTATCAGTTGCTCTAATAGAAGATATTACCTCTACCTTCAGGCTTTGCCCTGATTTATTTATTAAAATCCTTCTTTTAATTTTCACACAGCATGAAATAAAAAAATCTTATGCTGAAGTTTTGTATTACAAGAACTCAAAGGCACTCTTACAGCTTAGCTGGCTCCACTGGCACTGTGACAAGAGCTTACTGCTCTGAAATAAAACAGTAACAACTGACAAAAGATACTGTGATGGATGTAGATATTGTGATGAATGTTTCCCACCCAAGTGTGTTACACAAAAAGTCTCACGGCTTTCAATGAAATTGTTCTGATGCTACGAAGGTGTAAAAATCAGCCTACCTGCATGGCTAAGAGATATAGGACCTGATTCCTGAATACAAATTCCTTCTTCCAAATAGAGAGACAAAAATAAGAAGGGCTGAATTACTCCATACACTTGTACACCACTGGAATAAACATCTAAGAGAGCGGGCAGCTAGCCAGGTAAGATTCTCAACTCTGAGCAACTGAAATATGATGCATCTCTCTTTAGTTACAAATCTATTTTTGAAATCAATAATCTGTTAATAGCTTCACATAAAAATAGAAATCTTTACATAGATAAAGCATGTCAGAACAACTCCCATAATTTATTGCAAACATGCTCCTTGCTAGTAGAGTCTTAATTAAGCATCTGATAGCATTTATGGTACAGGGTTAATTTTGAAAAAGTATTTAAAATCTCAGCTTCAAAGCTTTGATACAGAGCTACTATCCAGCACATATGCTTTGGTCCAAAAGAGCATGAGATTTTTAGCACATATTTTGAAATAAGTCCATTTGCTTCTTTTGTCAGGTTTTGACTGATTTCAAGTATTATCCATAGCGTAATTTTTTCAAGTACTCAGACATATAAAATAGCCTGTCCAGAAGCATTCCCCTTCAAGTTTTACTATTATTTTTCTTATCCTTTTTGGCCAACAAATAGTCAGAAATTTCTGCACCTGATAATACTTGATGTGTTCAGGTTAAATGCACTGCCTGTATTTTTTTTTCTAAGTTTGTTTTAACACTTTGATAATGCAATGCCAAATCAGAGGCACCCATACTAAAACGTAGAGAAGAACAAAATAGCAGTGACAATCCCACTTTTTCCAGGATATTCTCCGAGAACTTATATAGCAGAAAACAAAAGCATCACTAACCAATCCCAGCATTGTAGCATACACACACTAATTTGCCATGCACTACATCTGCCTCTTCTCACATGTTTTGCTTCAAGAATCCTTAATACTTTGTCAGTACAACCCACGCATGTATGTGCACAGTGGAACGCAAACAGAGAGAAAAATCATCACACCTAATGTTAGCTACTTAAAAGCTTTGCATCCAGAGGCTGTGGATGTACAGACAAGTCTTGTGGTGCCCTTGCCAAGCCTAGAGAGGTTCCTGGCTCCCTGCTGCAATGCTGCTCCATTGGAGGTGGATTTGTGGGGGTCTCAGCAAGGGAGGAATGAACCATATTAAAATCCTGAGAAAGGGAAGAAGGAAGGGGAGCAAGATTGGGGTTGGTTTGTTCAAAACTCGGATCAAATTCATGGCCCAGGCCAGGCAAGGTCTCACAAACAGGGAGGGGAAAAGCAGGTTTTTTTCTGCAGCCGAGAGGACCGTCCATGCAAGGGTGGTTAAGAAAAGTGAGTCACCCTCCCTCCACCAAGGACAGAAGTAGGTTGCATATAGTTTAGGCTAGACGCTTGGGATAGCTAGCATCACAGGAGGTGAAACCCACTCATGTTACCATCATATCCTCGTTCATCCTGGGATGGACTGCAGAAGGTGGCCAGGACTGTGCCGTCCCCCTCAGCAGCATCTCCTGCTGCCACAGTGCAATCAGGGGCTGGGCAGGCTTCTGGCCTCAGCCAGCACAGCAATTCTTAACACCTGTGATCCCAAAGCACTTCACAAACTCTCATTCACATAATACACTGAGGGGCAGCAAAAGGCACTGTCCCTGTTTTGTCAGCTAAGGATAGTGGGGCACAGAGCAGGTAATAACACAGAACAAATGGGAATCAAATGCAGAAGTCCTAGTTCCT